AAGTGAGTCGTTTGTGTATACCACCGTCGTTTTTAGTTCACTAAAAGTAGTATACAACACACTTTCTCGCTGTATTTTGTATATACTCCAAGGGAAGAGATTCTCAATGCACGTATTGTGGTCACGAGGCATGGCTTTATTTGCCTTGGAATGGTATCACTGCCATGTGGGGTACTAACCTGTGTGTTGTATCAAATGCCATATCAATTTCTCTGCAGAGGCATCTGTAATGGCTTTGTTTGGTCTACTGCTCCTGCTATCGTGTCCCCTTCTCTTCCACAAATCCCTGCTAAAACAACTGTTTGAATGGTCCACACACTCCCTTCTCCTCCCACAGCCTTGTACGCCGTTCCTCAGTAGAGACAGAGAGACTAGTGACCTAATGAGAGCACTGGACATGCAGAGTGATGAAGTGAGAATAGTCAATCTGGTCGGTCCCACTGGTATAGGGAAGAGTTGTCTTGCAGTTCAAGTTGGGCACCAGCTTATAGACAGTGGGGCTACAGTTAGCTACCTTGATGCTAGTCTTCTCTCTCTGGACAGCCTGCCAGATGTGATTCTTCAGACCACTGGTTCTGTTCATGGCAGTTGGAACTCTACCGGGAGATTGTTTCACTGGCTGCGTAGGGAGATGAAATACCCTATAGTTGTGATACTGGACAACTTTGATAGAATGCTTGCGACTGATCGAGAAAGAGTGTTAAAATAATTATATCGACATGCTGTTTGAAAATGCTGCAGCAACAGTCTAAGTTCTCATCACTAGTAGAAAGAAGATTCCCTTGTCTGATCACAGCTCTGAGTACGAAATCGAGTCAATGACTTTTGACAGCTGGAGAGAATACTTTTCTCTGTTGTTTTTTGAAAGATGGTCCCTTAGAGTTTCAGAGGAACGCTCCAAAACTACAGGAACTGGAGAAGCAAGAAATTCGTTTCTTTTCTAAGAACATCTATCGATTGTTGTGGAGATTTTCCCAGTCTATGTTTGAAGGTGTTGCATAGTAGCTATCAAAGTTTTGTTCTTTGACAAAGTTTGTTCAGTTGCTTCAGACGACACTTTCCAACATTGATCTTATAGTGGAGAGCAGGGAACTGGATGCCCATAGAGCAGATATTGTGACATATTTTAGTATCTGAGAACAGGGAGAAATCTAAATTTATAGTTCGCTGTGATTCCACTGAAGTGGACATTTATGGTTCTTATGGCGGATAATATTCCCTTTTTCTTCATATGTAAGTGCCAAGTCATTTGCATATGCCAAAACAATTCCTTGGAGAACAAAACTGGAATCCAGTATCAAAATGTAAGTCCGATTTTCTTGACAAAGAAAGAATAGTTGGTATATAATATCTATGTCTCTGTTGTGGCTGGTTTGCAACTGAGACCTTTGAACCAATATCAAGCAACATTCTCTGGATTGAATCGAAACAAACTTATTTCATCAATGCTCCCTGGAATGTTGGGCAAATTTATTCCGAACTGCTTGAGTTCAGGAGAAAGGTACCTAGCTATATACAAGCCATACGAATAAACACATCAACCATGGAATGTAGATTAGTTGGACTTAGAGTAAAAAGTAGATATTTGTTCAGTCTTATCACCATTGCTGGGGTAGGAGCATCTGGAAACCCAAAGACCATGAAACTGCTGATGAGTATATACACATGAAAATCCAGAGGTCCCTGCCGTATCATGGCATTTAGATCTCGTTTCCATTATTTTATGCTCATTTGGTAATCATTCATCAATGCTAACGGGTCGCTCACGGTTCCATAACAGCTCGCGATCGTGTATAACTGTTGCGTGCGTCTGGGATTACCGTAATAGCGTGATATAGAGAGAGATCACGTTGAGCGTCTTCCCTGCTCTGGAGTGTACAGTAACTTAATTATTCACACACATGACCTTACAATAACGTATGCATGCACACGTGACACAAGTGATACAATCCGCATACAGTATAATTTTATTCATACATAGCGATTGTGGCAAACTATAATTTTGAGAATTTATAATTATTATGATATTAGCAGCCAATCAATGGCAAGAAAAATGATAATAACTGCAAAAATGATAATAAGTGCAAAAATGATACTAACTGTAAAAATTTTTATGACACTCTTGTGTACAGGATTTTTGGTGCGGTGAACATAAAGACAAACAGCCGAGCAACAACACGTCATTAGAAAATAATAGCAGCAAACAGCAATAATGAATAGTACAGGGAGCAGAGTGTTAGTCCATTGTTGTATATGGTGTGTAATGTTAATACTGTTGCTAATGACATTGATTTGGGTCCAAACAAAACTGTGTTTCTGCTCCATCAATGATGTTGTAGTGCTCAGGTTTATTTCTTGGGGTCCAAAGTATTCTTCCCACATGAGATATGGACCTAGCAGTCCATAGGGCAGTAGAACCAATACAGCTGCAGTGCACACAATCACAACGTCACAAACGATGTGAACATAGCAGAATATGTTTAGCACTTCTCCGGTTAGAAATAGATGAATGCAAGATTCAAATCTTGCATCTCTCAGTGGAATTGCGAGAATATTGTGTCTTATAGCCTTATTCATACATTGCAGAGCACCATGCAGCCAGACATTTGCAGCAGAGTAGTTTCCCAGCTGATAGTAACTCCTTCCAACAAACAGTGATGGGAAACATTTATACTCAGCATAAGATTCCCCGAGGTTATCTGCACTTGCATAACTTTGTTCTCCATACCAGATTGCCAGGTGGTAGTACTGCTTTCTGAAGGCATCAATTGCAGAATCTCCACGATTTATAGCACATTTGTAGTTACAAAGAATCTCAAGTGAAACATTTGGATCATCTGTAGGGAATAAGAACAACTCTCTAGTCTTTTTGTAGTACTCTCCCATTTTTGTAAGAGTTTCGTCACAATCACATGGAATGCCATTGGCAACCATTTTTTTCTGTAACTCGACCACATTTACTTCCAAGTCCTGTGATCTGAAAAATTCGATGGCCATGTAGTAGATTTCTTCAGAGTATTCACTTCTGTCAGCATTCAGCAGATATTGATATGCTCTTTGAGTTATCTCCACTGCGAAAGCTTCTGCTTCAGTGAAGTCATTTCCAAGAGATGTGCTTATATAATCATTGTACAAGCATAATTGTAGCATTATTCGATCCATGTGATATAAAAATGCCCTTCGGTGATATGCAAACTTTCTAAAGTTAAAGGCTATTTCTATGTCCCCAATATTCTGATATGCAATGGATAGGCTTAAATAGTCACAGTTTGGGAAACAATGATCGAGCTCATTGTGTGTGTTTCTAAGAATTTTAGAATAACAACCATTTGATTTTTCCACATCCTTAATCTCATTGTAGTAATTTCCCAATATTTTATAAAATATTGTGTACATGTGAGGGCTTAATGTACCATTCTTATATCCTTTGTCAACTTCCTTTTGTTTAGTCGAAAGCAGTTGGATTGCAAGTCTAACTTTCGGTTTCGACTTTGCTGCAAGTATTACTACTCTAATATATGTGTCAAAGAATGATTCCACACTAGCTCTCTCATCAGAGGAATAAGAATCCAAGCACTTAAGGAAAAGCATGGTGTAGATGTGAGATGATGGTGAGGTGAAAACTCGCAGCAACATGTTTAATTCGAAATGCAGGTGAGACTGTCCATCAATAGACAAGAAAGAAAGACAGTATAATCACATGTTTGGGCTGATAAACAGCGTAAACATGTGCAAAATGTTGTGTGTACCCACGTCATTATTAGAGAGTCGGTTATTTGTAGACTCTCATATAGGGACTGACAACGTGGTGAAATCGTCACGTGGTCCGCGTACAAAAACGACTAAAAACTCGGTCGAGTGAGAATCACTTCCTCGGCCTCTACAAAACATTCACTAGCACATAGTCGCGGGCCCTATATACCTATACGTGTCCCCCAAGAGCTCTATCGCACCTTCAGTCGTCCACGCGAGAATTCGCTCATACGCGATTTCACGATTTTCGTGTCATCATATTCTTCATCTTCTTCTTCTTTTCTTCTCTCTTTAAACCCGCTATCTCCTTACCAGTACCAGTTCAAGACTGATTTTTTCACTGAAGGTCTCCAATTTCGCCGGAGGTGTGCACGGACATCAAGCGATCGTTTCTTTCTTGCCGCTAGTCACTACGGTAGATCATGGAGCTCTTCCATGGTCGACCTGAACAACGCCATTTGCTGCTTACCAGCACCGTGATCAGCGCGCATGCGCAGGCAGGGGCCGTGTCAATGTGCTTGCGAGCGTATTCTACCGGGCGAGTTGGCAGACTGCAGAGGGGAACGTCAGCCCTCCAGTACCTGTAAGTAAGGTGCACATTCCAACTGGCTATCTGCTGTGATATGCACGAAGAGCAACTTGCACAGTCTGCGCGGTGTTTACGCGCGCCTGCGGGGCACTCAGTCAAATGGCTCATGTTTGTCCCCCCAGGTTGTAGAGCTGATTACCAAAGCCTGCCAATGAAACCACAACATGTGCAATAATCTATTACATCATGTTGAAGACAAATACATGGTACTGATTGCAGCCCCATTAGGTAATACTTCAATTGTCTATGGTAGCTATCTTACAACATAGCATGAACATCAGGAGTGACTGTACACAATAAATGCAGTGTTGCCAGAAGCTGTTAAAAATAGTGGAAACAAGTGGAAAAATCATTTCTTCAAAATGAAAGGGGGATATAGGGATGCTTGAAGCACCAAAAAGGAAGAAACAAGGGGTCATTACACAGCAAAGTTGCACAAAGCTACATGACACCATCCCTATATCTTTGTTTATTGTTATAAGCAAAGTTTAATATCAAACAATATCAAACAAAGATATAGGGATGGTGTCATGTAGCTTTGTGCAACTTTGCTGTGTAATGACCCCTTGTTTCTTCCTTTTTGGTGATTCAAGTCATCCCTATATCCCCCTTTCATTTTGAAGAAATGATTTTTCCACTTGTATAATATCTCCAGTTCCAATTTGTTTACATTATCTGGAATAGCTTTTTGAAGTAACTGGCCAAAGTGGAGTTGGTATCGGCTACTAAAATAGTACTCTAATTTTTTAGCACCCTTACCATCACTTACTTGAGTAAAAAACATTTTTAACAGCTGGTGATAATGGAATTGCTTTTGGCTCCTTTCATATTGTAGCAGAGACCTCTGCACTAACTTGTCTAGCATTTTCCCTTCAAAATTGAAGATAGCAACAGCACTCCTTTTGGAGAACTTGCCTGGAAAGTGGGACAGGTTAACACACAACTGCTTTAACTCTGGTGTCAGATAACTAAAGGCAATACCCAAGGATACATCAACTTTTGAATGTAGTTCGTCTGGACTCAGTGTGGAAACTAGATTCTCTCTCAAGCCCTGTATCACTTCCTCTGCTGTAGGAGCACCAGGAAACTTAAAAATTGCCCCTACGACTTGCAGTGCTAGTGGAACATTTCCTGTCAGATCAGCTATTTGCCTCTTCTGATCAACTGTTAAAGTAGGAGCTACTTCACCCAACAGTTGGGATAGCTGCTTCAGATGAGAGGTTGTAAATGGCATGGAGTCGAAAGTTACCAATGTCAGCATACCCACTTTTGACTGGTAAGAATATACCTTACGTTTGTACTTGATGATGCTTGTGTTAGTTTCCTTATACCATCAAGAAATTTGTCTTTTTGATGCTCAAATAACTCATCGCAGTTGTCTAGTATTATTAAAGTGTTTGAATATTGGTGACGAACCCACTTTTCTAAACGGATATATGTCGCCTTGTGCTTACGATTGGGGGAATCAACAATACTATGCATTATTATCTCAGACATACTATCAACATCTTTAATCATTCTGAGATCAGCATAACAAACTTTTACGCACTTCCTTACAAATATTTCCCCAATTTTCATGGCCAGAGTGGATTTACCGAACCCAGGAGGTCCAACAATGTGAACTACCTGAACATCTGAGGTGTAGAAGTCAAGGTAGCCAGTGATGTTGCGAATGTCTTCCTCTCGACCGACAAAATGACTCACAGATGGCAGACTCTTTGAGTGGCAGAGTCCCAGCTGGTAGCAGTCTGTGTTAGACCACATCACAGCTAGTACCATGATCAAAATAGAGACTCCAGTTAGTATAGTTTTCCAAGACGTCAGCCAATCTGGGTATACACAGCAAATTTTATAGAGTATATCATGCATCATCAGTATTTCAGACTCACTGTTATGGTGTGTTGAAGATGTACGGGAACTGTTAGTGATATCCTTGAATTCTTCTATACAAGGAAAAGTCAGAATGGTTTCATTGGTCCAGCAATGTATGATCATGTGACTGAGTAGTAGCTACTACATAATGCCAGCCCACAGAACCTAGAATAGTGCACACTATACTCAAATCATGTAAAAGAATGAAAAGCACTGAAGTGCAAACCCTCGGCGAACTGCGCACGCGCGGTACCACTAATTGATGGGCTGGGCTTTTAAGTATGCGTTTACTCGTGGTATCCACGCTAGTAGCTCGCGGAGAGTCTGACACGGACTAGTAAATAGCATGCGGGAGACGATATATACACGCCCTTCGTTGTGACTTCTTATGCCTTCAAGATACACAGAGCATGCGGCCTGGTCGAGGTAAGCTTGTGCTAATTAGCATTATAACCGCATGCGCATTTTCTGCAGCGATAAAAATGGTATTAGCCGTACAAGGCTGTAGCTCTGCAACAGAGCATTTTTCAGAGAAAACCGCTCATAATTTCTGACCTTCATTGCCCGTTAAGTACGTCGCATCGTTTGTGAGACGAACAAACACTCGAGAAGTGAGATGTCGAGTAACAACACACAGACCCAAGTACTGTAACCCTCGCTGCGCATGCGCGCCGAGGGTTAATAAGTGCAACAAGTCAAAACCTATAACAAAGATTGCCTGTCATGCTTACCTCCCCTCATTATCAATTTATGTGCTCTTACCCCACAACATGCATGTGAGATGTCCAAACAGTAGCACAACCAAAAGCAGTTAGACTGACTTTTTAAAAAAAATTGTGAGGAGCTATGTAAAGTAGTTTCCTAGGTATGTACTGACAAGTATTGTAGACAAAGGGCATACACTTAGCTATGTGCTCGCCAAACTATTACCTCTGGTAGCTCTCAACTTCGTGCATACATCTTCAAAAGTCGGATCTGGAACCAGAATAGAGAGGAATTTCTCAAACGCTGCCTCCTCTGACTCGATTTTATCCTCCAACTTCTGTAGCAGTTCTCGACTACGCTCTAGTTGCGTCACGGAAATGAGGGACGCTCTCTGTCGTATCACTCTATCTATCAGCCCATTGCTGTACAGTTCCACTCCCAGACCTCCTGGATCTGTTACTGCTGACTCCAACTCCTTTAGGTGTTTGAGAAAAGAGAGATAGCCAGGGCGAGAACACGTCGCAGTGCCAGCCATGTTTCTTCACGTGGGACTAACTAGATACGCCCACAAGGAGGCGTGGTCAGCTCGTAAACAAACGGGCATTATACTTGCTGTTGGAAGAGTGATGGGGGTAGATCTAGATGCACCCAACCCCTGTCGTTTGGACTTCTCCCAGAAGAGTATGGGTGTTGATGCACAGAGGAGAATCCTGAATCGCAACCACCGAAGACTACGTCAGGATGTGGACATCGAGACCATTTACCCGCACCTCAACGAGCACAGTCTACTGTCAGACCACGAGAGAGAAATTCTACTCAACGTTTACCACACACGACAGTTCAAGATAGACAAACTGTTACAGTGGATACCCATGAAAGGCAGTGGTGCATTGGATAAGTTTATAGATTGTCTGCAGAGGTCTAGTCTCGAAGCTAGTGGCCACGAAGAGCTCGCAGACCTGTTGCAGCGAGATGTTGATCGTGACAGAGACAATCCTGATCTCGACAAGTGGCTGCGGATACCCGCCCCTCGTTTATCAACAATTAAAAGTGAGTCGTTTGTGTATATCACCGTCGTTTTTCGGTCACTGTAAGTAGTATACAGCACACTTTCTAGTCGCACTTGTGTGTGTGTTTACTCCAAGGGAAGAGCAATGCACGTATTGTGGTCACGAGGCATGGCTTTATTTGCCTTGGAATGGTATCACTGCCATGTGGGGTACTAACCTGTGTGTTTTCAGTATGTTGTATCAAATGACATATCAATTTCCCTGCAGAGGCACTGTATTGGCATTGTTTTTGGTCTACACTGTAAAAGGGGGGTGTCAGGATAACACCAAAAG